AGAAAGGCAAGCCGGGCCTGGTCTGAGAGAGCCTTGCTGGGCCACGGCAGGGGCTGAGTTGTGGCCTCGGGCCAGCTGAAGATGTGGGCTCTTGGGACAGGCTTAGGATGAGGACTGGCCACCAGGTCTGCTGGTGTTCACGGGGTGCCTGGAAGGAGGGAGGGAGGGAGTGGGCTCAGGAGCCCTGGCCCCGGTTCCAGGCTCCGTGTAGGTGTGGCCCGAGGCCTGGAGGGTGGGACACCTGGAGTCTGCCAGGCCTGGCGTGAAGGCCGGATTGGGGGGCAGAGCTGGGGGGCTGGGACCCTCAGCCAGGGATGGGTTGGGGCAGGAGGGGGCCTGAGCCAGAGCTGGGGCTCCCCTAGTTCAGCGTCACCCAGGAAGAAGGGTCTGCAGGAAGCAGTGGTCAGAGGGCCACACGGTGTGGTGGGGACAGCGGCCAGTGAGCCCGGGCCTCCCCTGACCCCCGACCCCTGAACCCCCACTTCCCCCAGGTCAGCGCCAACGGGAACGTCCTGCGGAGCGAGATCGTGGGCTCCATCAAGATGCGGGTCTTCCTGTCGGGCATGCCCGAGCTGCGCCTGGGCCTCAACGACAAGGTCCTCTTCGACAACACGGGCCGTGAGTGCACCGGGCTGGCGTGGGCGGGGCCCTGCCCCAGGACGGCTGCCTGGGGCTCACACACCAGAGCTGAGCCGGCGCTGGCCCGGGAGAGGGGAGAGCGAGCTGGTTTCAGGCCGGAGCCCTAAGGACATGTTCAGGTTGCTTAAAAGGCAGCTGTGGGGGCCAGCAGGTGGCTGGAGGGCAAGGCGCAGGATCCCTCATGGCTGGCAGCCATTCAAGTCCTGGACCCGGCGGTTTGAAAACCACGCCAGGTGCACGGGCCCGTGTGCCCAAAGTGCTGAGAGGAGAACGGAGGAGAAGGGATTGCAGTGTGGCCATCTCCCGGGGGGTGATATCTCACTTTCCCTCTCTCTGTCTCTCTTGTGAGCACACGTGCCTTATAGCAAAAAATCTTATCAAAAAAAAAAAAACATAAAAAGGGCAGCTGTGGAAGTTAATGCCTGGACATGGCAAGTACAGGAGAGGGAAGGTCCCCAAGCCGAGTGGCCTTGTCACCCGCGCCAAGCCCCCGGCACACCACACAGCAGGTCCTCAGCCCCACACCTCCCTGGCAGGAGCTGCCCAGGCTCGGGTTAGGCCTGTTCTTCCTGTCTCTCAGGCTCTGAGTCTGGGCTGTGGAAAGCCCCACCCAGGATTCTCAGTTCTGGCATGTGACACGTCCCTTGGCCAGGCAGGGGACAGGGTGGGCACAGGGCCCGGACCTGCTGTGGCTGTGCGCCTGCAGACTGGACAGACCGCATGGTGTCGGCACTCCCACGGGAAGAGGCGTCTGGGCGGGTGTGCCCTGTGTTCTGCCTGGCCTGTCAAGGGCCTCTCAGGAGTCACTGACCCCCGCCTTGGGACCAGCAGTTGGCCTAACGGCTATGTCGCTGGACTCCCGTGTCGTTAACCGCGGTTCGAGTCCCAGACCCGGTGGCTTAAACTCACGCTGGGCGCGTGTGCGTGCATGCCCAAGATCCCGAGAGGAAAATGGAGAAGGGATTGCGGCGTGGCCATCTCCCCTGGGGGGTGATTTCTCGCTTTCTGTCTCTCTGTCTCTCTCTCTCTGTCTGTCTGGTGAGCCCACGCGCCCTATAGCAAAAACCTCTCCAAAAAAATAAAATAAATAAAAAAATGGAGTCACTGATCCCTGAAAGCAGCTCCCTGCCCAGCCCACAGAGCCCCTCTGTGGGGGCGGGAAACTGAGCTGGAACCCAGGGCCCCCGAGGGGGATGCGCCCGGGCTCTGGGGGAACCCCAAGCCATCCCTCAGCGGTGTCTGTGGTCCCTCAGCAGACACACCGTGGCCGCTGTCTTGGCCGGGCCCTGGGCTGGCTGCAGGGCCCCGGGGGAGCCAGGCCGCCCAGCCCTGCCCACGTGCCGCCCAGGGACCTGAGTGAGGGCAACGATGACGCCTTAGGCCTGCCTCTGCTGTGGTGCATGCCCTAGAGGCCCTCCCGGGTGCAGGCGGGGACCTGGCCCTGCTGGGGTGTGCCCGAGGCTCAGGCCCCGCCCTCACCCGGCCCCGCCCCCAGGCGGCAAGAGCAAGTCCGTGGAGCTGGAGGACGTGAAGTTCCACCAGTGCGTGCGGCTCTCACGCTTCGAGAACGACCGCACCATCTCCTTCATCCCGCCCGACGGCGAGTTCGAGCTCATGTCCTACCGCCTCAACACCCACGTGAGCAAAAGCGCCCCGCCCCAGCCCCAGTCCCAGGGCTCCGAGCTTCCCGAGGGGACAGGTTCCCGGGGGCCACCTCTGCGCCTTCCCCATGTACTCCCGCTCAGCCTCGGGCAGCGGCGCGCCAGGCCCACGCCCCAGCAAGTGGTCCTCCTCTCGGGCCTCAGTCTCCCCTCTGCAAAAGGGGACTTGGTGAAACGCACCCCGGTGCCAGGACGTGCCCGCTGTCCCCCAGGTCAAGCCCCTGATATGGATCGAGTCGGTGATCGAGAAGCACTCCCACAGCCGCATCGAGTACATGATCAAGGTGGGTGCCTGGCTGCTGGGGTGTCGGGTTGCCCAGGGCCTTGGGTACCTGGTCCTCGTACGAGATGCCCAGGCCTGTCCGTAGGTGCACCACCTCCCTGGGCAGAATCTGGGGCCAGGAGGGCTTCCTGGGGGTGCTGCCCACCAGGTGACACAGACATTGTCCCAAGAAGCCAGGGCTGGGCCAAAGGAAGGGAGGGGGAGCCTTGAAGACCCAGGGGACAGGCAGAGGTTGAAGTTCTGGAGTCTGGAGGGTGGAGGAGGCTGGGTGGGGCCTGGAGAAGCCAGGGTTAGGTGGCAGTGTGTTGGAGGGCTCGTCCCACCTTCCCCCTCCAAACCTCGGCCCGCGTCTGCTGGTGTGCAGGCCAAGAGCCAGTTCAAGCGGCGGTCGACGGCCAATAACGTGGAGATCCACATCCCCGTGCCCAACGACGCCGACTCGCCCAAGTTCAAGACCACGGTGGGGAGCGTCAAGTGGGTCCCCGAGAACAGCGAGATCGTGTGGTCCATCAAGTCCTTCCCGGTGAGCACCAGTCCCGGCCGGGCACCTCAGGCCCCACACGCCCCCATCATCCCATGTGTGTGCATGTGTGCCCAAAATCCCAAAAGGAGAGAGATGGAGAAGGGACTGCCATGTCACCGTGCCCACAGGGGAGACTGTCTCACCTTCCCTCTCCACATGCCCTATAGCAAATTAGAAAAACGAAGGAAGTGTCAAAAGCAAGACCCTGGCGGCGTGGTGGTTAAGGGTGCTGGACTTCCACATGGCTGACCATGGTTCAAGTCCTGGACCTGGCAGCTTGCCCTCTCTCTCTCTCTCTCTCGTCAAATTAAATAAAAATAAATAAAGTTAAATAAAATCTTAAAAAAAAAAAAAAAAAGCAAGACCCCAAGGAGAAGTG